GGAAAACAAATACATGTATATATATGTATGACTGAAACATTATGCTGTACACCAGAGATTGACACATTGTAACTGATTATACTTCAATACATTTTTAAAAAAAGTAGTAATACTGTGTGCCTGCCAAGGAAGGCTGCGGGGAACAGTGCAAAGGTGAACAAGGGAAAAAAGCTCTCCTGCCTGGTCTTCAGCAGCCTCCGGAGTCTGCTCCACGCTCCTGCCCCCAGCCTCCCTCGCCAAAGCACAGAGCTGACCTTACTTCCTTCCCTGCTCAGCACTCAGCCCCGCTGCCCCAGTCATTCTCTCTCCGGCCCTCTTCTCTCCTTCCAGCCATTCAGTTTATGGTCCTGGCTGGACTTGCTTCCTCAGACAGTGTCTCTGAATCTCTCTACCTACACAAATCCTGCCATCTTTTTATGGCTCATCCAGGTTTCCCCTCCTATAGAAAACCCACAGAGAGATCCTCCTTCCCTAAGGCTTTGTCTGCTAGGGTGTCACTTAAGGCAGTCACTCAGAGGTGTTCCTTATTAAGCAGCCACTCGGCACCTGGACTGTTCCATGTGCTGGGGATACATCAGTAAAGACAACAGCATCTCTGGCATTCTTGAGCTTCTCCTACAATAAGAGACACAGAAAATAAACACAGAAACTAATATATAACATCACTTGATGTAGGGATGATTGCTGCAGAGACCATAAAACAGGGGATATAAGGGAAGCTATTCTGGATAGAATGGTCAGGGAAGACCTCTCTTGGAAGTGATGTCTGAGCCAAGATCTGAATTATGAAAAGAGCCAACCATGAGAGAGGATCTGGGGTGGGGGCCTCTTCCGGGACACATGAAGGAAAAGGTTCCTGAATAACCTTGTTTTGTTCCAGGAACAAGGAGGTGGTCACTGTGGCTGGAAGATGGAGAAGAGACAGAGTGGATTAGGTGATGGCAGGGAGACGGGCCGGGGAGATGATGGCATCCGTGGTGAGAAGTACAATAGGGAGCCATTGAGGGTCTTGAGCACAGAAGTGGCCTGATCTGATTTGTGATGCTGCAGACAGAACAGCTTGTAGTGCGAAAAGCCTGGAGCGGGGAGACCAGTTAGGAGCCTACTGCACTAGATCAGGCAAGAGATGATGGTGGTTTGGACCTGGGAGTTGGCAGCACCGCTGATGAGAAGAGACAGGTTTGAGATACATTTTGAAGGTACAGTCACCCGGAGACTGGGAGAGGGAGGCCCTGGCAGAGAAGTGTCACCTTTTTTGTTGGATTGTTGTGCTACAGAGAAGGATGAGGAGTCTTCCAGATATAGAAAGAGAAAATAACATTCCAGGCAGTATTTTTAAAAGATTCAGAGGCAAAAAAAGTGGATGGATGGTGCTTTCAGAATGATGGCTGTGAATGATATGTACTGAATTTTTGAAGATGACAGGTGAGAAATAGGACAGATAAGTCCATAAGGATCTGGAGCATTATGGGAAGGGCTTAAGCTTCATTTCTTGTGGGTAATAGGGAGCTACTGAAGGCACTAGCACATAAGAGTCGCTCAACATATGTTTACATTGGAGCCCCAGTGTTGAACTGCGGGAGTTGCTTTCACAGGTATTTCATGGGACCCTATAGAAACAGCCTGATGTTTGGCAACTGTAGATTCTTCTCTCCCTGTGCTGAAGGCAACTTGTGCCCAGGTTGAGCTCTGTTCACAGTCTGCCTGTGAGTTCTCTGGGCACCCAGGTACCTGAGGGACAGAGCCAGGTGGCCAGTGACTGGAAGACAAGCGCCTGGCTGTACATCTCAACCAGCCTTCACCACCCTTGTACACACCAACAGGCCATGCCCTGCAGTATCCGCCGCCAGGGTAAACCCAATCCACGTGCCTGGGGCATTTTTTACCAGGCAATACAGAGAGAAGCTTCCAGACACAGTTCCTCATAAACATTTATCACTTGAGTTTTCTCAAGATTTTAGAGAGGCACTGAGGTGTTCACCATAGCCATGGCTCAGTCTCCAAGAAGCTATTTGACACGAGGCCAACATCTTGCTCTGGGCCTCAGTTTCTCTGTCTGGAAAGTGAAAAGATTGGACATCGTGACCCAAGGTGTTCTCTAGCTCTGGCCCCCTCTGCCTGTTTATTTTGTTCCTTTTCTGCTCAGAACCCATTTGCATGTCTACTCTTCATGCTGGGGAACAAGCCACAGTGTTTGGGTGGAGCCTGGTCCATGATCCATCTCAGTCCCAGGGCCCGAGAGACCCAGTCAGATTCCACTGGAGGGAAAGCAGAATCCTGTAAGGACTGCTGTGCCCTGTGCCTTCTGGAAAGCGCATGCAAAGCCTGAATTCTCACCCACATGCTGGAGCAAGCTGTCCTCCCTTTGAAACCTAAGAAAGTTGCAGGAACAGCTGTTTATCTGTTCCATGGTTTGCATAATTTCCCTGGCACCTTCGCTAATTGTTGAAGTGGGTTTTCATGGGTGGAGATTGAGCTCTTGGTCTGCCGTGGATGTGCTGGGCTGCAGCTCATTTGGAGGAAGAGAATTGGAGCCGAGATCTTACAGGGCCCTCCTGAGGATGCCCAGCCACAGGGATCTGCTCATGAAGATCTGAGGGTCCTGTTGAAGTCCAGGAAGCAAGCTGAGTTGCAGGAGGTGAAACGGATGACACTTTGGAAGCTGATTCAGCAAGTATCTGTGAGGCCAGCCGGTGAGGTGCAAGGAAGGGTGGAGAAATGTGGCAGGGTTAGAAGATGCTAAGCAACTCAGGACTGGATGGGATACAAAGCACCTGCTGGGTCCATGTACTCCTGAAAATTATACTTCTTTACCCCTTCTCTCAACAGAGATTACTATGTGTGCCATGCCAGGCACTAGGGTAAAGGGTAGGACACCCACCCAGATCTTTCATTCCTAGAAATATGGACTGACTGGAATTGTGCCTTGTGGTTCCAACTGTAGACACTCAGGAGAAGGGGTGGTAAGCATGGCCTCGTGATGACCAGGAGGACTTTCTGGAGGTGGTGACATGCCAGGCAAACTAGGAAAGGCACAAAGGGAAATAATAACTCCGTAGCACCAGTGGAAAGAGCTTGGACTTTGAACCAAACAGACCTGGTTCAAGCTGACCCTCTGAGCCTTTGTTTTCTCATCAGTAAGATGGGAAATGTAATGATAGTTTAGGAGATTAAATGAATTCAGGAGGAAATACGCCTGGTTCAAAGCGGGATCTCCTGAAATGGTTGGTTGGTGGAGGTCAAGGTGCACGAGGTGGTTCAGAGTCTAGGGGAGAAAGTCTTCAGTATCCTTCCTCCTCAGCTTTGAGTGGACTCCTCCCCACTCACCCCTGTGGCCAAGGTCGGGTGGGTAGCATTTGGGCCAGTGCCCCGGGGCCTGGTGGCCTGCTTGCCCTGAGCTTCCGAAGGGCATCAGCACAGCAGGCTTCTTTGAGCCCAGTGAATTTCCACAAGCCAGGAGGGCCCCACTCTGAGGCTCACACCTCTGGAACTTGAGATGTTGGCCAAGTTCAGGCTGTGGGAGGGGAAGCCTGTGTAGGCTGCATTTGGTGGGGAAATGGGCCTCCAGGGTGGAAAAGAAAAATAAAGAAAAGGAGTCCTGCTGGAGCCTGCTTATAGAGAGATGCAGCTCTAATGCCTACCCCTCCCACCTTCCTTGCCCCAGGCCTTTGCTGGAGAACTAGCTTTAGAATCTGGCCCAGCAAAGACCGCTTCCTCTAGGAAGCCTGCTTGGATGGCCTGGTCCCTTCTGAGTTCTCACTCTACCGATCCTGTAAATTTGAGTGTGGATTCACCCTCACAGGCCAAGTATTTGCTGCACACTCTGTTTGGTACAGTTCATATTTGACTCAAATTGTAAGCTTCCACCAGAGAATCAAAACAAAGAGGAGAAAATTCACATCTGTGGAGCCCCTACTGTATACCTCACCCTGGGCTGTCCATCTTTTATATGTCACCTCACTTGAACCTTACAACAGCCCTCCAAGATAAGGACCACATTCCATTTTACAGATGAAGAGAATGAGGCTCAGAGTGGTGTAAGTCCCAGGATGGGAAGACCAAGTGTGCAGGATTCTGAAGCTTCTTTAGCTCCTTTACACCAAAGCAAGGTCCTCTGTGGGAGAAGTATGCACTCTGTGGTGAAAGACGTTTGGGAGATGCTGCTTGTTAAGCATGTCTCTTGAGTTTCCCAGCCCACAGTAGCATATTCACGGTCCTGCAGAAAAGGTACCTGACTTACTTTACCTAGTCCAGCACTCCCCGAGGGACACCTCAGTCACATTATAGCTGCTGACATCCCCTGAGGCCCCTGGGCATGCACTTTGGGACATGTTGTCTAGAAAGTAAAGACCACCAAAGTGGGCAAGCCTAGGAGCAAGCTCTCTGAGGAACTCAGGGAGGGGCGGGAAAGCTGAATTAGACCTGAGTCGGGGGCAGGGGGAGGAAGAAGAGCATAACTGGTGTGAGTGAGCCTCATGAGGGTCTGGACAGGGAGGCCACAGCCCCAGCTGAAACCCAGCATCCTAAGTATCTGAACTGTTAATGTCTTTGACCACAAAAGTCTGTCTTTAAAGCCGGAAGCACAGGGTGACACCAATCCTGCTCTCCACCATTGCAGGCAGGAGGGAGTAGGCGAAATGAATGAGTCAGTCTCTGCTGCTGAAGGAAACAGGCAAAATGCAATCTGAGGGACTTCAGTTAGACGTCAGTCAGGCCATCAGGAGATCTAAACAGTATCCCCAAACCATAGATGCCCTTCTTCTGGCTCACCTCCATCTTGCCAATGTCCACCAGGCAAGGCATCTGTCAAAAAGACTTTGAAGACTCCATGCTCTCTGCCTTCTGTGAAGTCAGGAAGTCCTGATTCATTTTCCCTCCCAAAGAAGTTGCTGGAGACTTCAGAACAATAACAAGACCTGGAATCTTAGCACAGTGGTCCTGCCAAATTCTGTACAGGACTAAGCGCACCTGGAGTACTCTGTACTGGCTGGCCACCACACACTGGGGTGCATTGCTGATGTGTCCAAGTGTTCATGGCCCAGATGGGCAGCTCCTGGACACTGTCAGGTGAGGCGCAGGTGAAGGAAAGAGTTAGGGGGACATTTACAGATGGGAGTGCAATTAGAACCTTCAAGACTGTCTCACACGTGCCTAGAGCAGTGCTTCCTAAAATGTGTCCCTGAAGCGGCAGCATCAGCATCACTTGGGAATAAGTTGGAAATGCAAATTCTTGCACACCACCCCTCCTCGTGCAACAGAGTCAGAAGCTCAGAACGGACCCCAGTCAAGAGTTTTAATAAGACCTCCTGATGATTCTGAAGCATCTTAAATTTTGAGAACCTCTGACTGGCAATCATGCCTGTTATAATGCCTGTTCTTCAGGAGAAATAGTGTTATTCTCACTGTGGAAAGCAGCTCAGAGAAGATGTTTGTTCCATCCCAGGACCTACAGCGGATAATCTGCAGATCCAGGGCTCCCAGTCCCAGGAATTCTCAAGCTTCCTGGCAGCCAGGCAGAGCTGTGTGCCCAAGGTACTAAGACAGCTGCTTGCCTTGGCCCCAGAGAAAGCCTTAATTGGCTCATTAATAGCTCTGATTAGAGAGAATGGAGAAGC